ATCATTAAGTATGACAATTATTGATCAGATGACACTATGAAACTACCATATTTAATTGATAGCTTAAAGGTACTGAATAAAAATCCAAATGGGGTCCTCCAAATTTTATGCATGGTATTTATTTTACAGAATTCATACAGAAAAATGCATTCTAAAATTAGGTAAGCTACTGGTGTAAGCTTTTTCTGTACAATAAAGTTAGTCGGAGTTTCTTTCTTCAGCGCTGTCTGAATCTGAATCTTCATCACTCTCAAAGTTGATTATTAAAGGTTCGATGTCTGGTCGATCAAAAATTCGTTCTCTTTCATACCATTTAAATATTTCTTGCTCAGTATGTCGAACACTATTTTTCCACATGTCTGGGGTAACCGTTTGTAGAGCCTCGTTCCACATATCCAAACAGTCTTTTTCACTGTTACCATCTCTACCAATATGTCTGTTATAGTAACCTTTTGCTATGCCCCAAATTAACTCAATAGGGTTAAATATACAATGGTAAGGAGGCAGACGAAGAACTTTGTGCCCATGTTGTTCCGCCAATTCATCAATCACGTATATTTTAGGTGGTTTGTTTCTAAAAAAGCAGTTATTTTAAGAATAGGAATAAACAAAACAAATATAAACTGTCGACCAAAATATATATAATTAAGAAGCATTATGTACCGAGCAACAATACTCAATAGCTCTGTTTTAAACATTGTGTTTAAAAATGGTATGTTTTGATTTGTCAACCAGTCTTGGATATTTTTTTTTTGTCCATGCATTGTTGGGCACTTTGTTCAATATCATGCTGTGATAAGGGGCGTTATCCAGTATAATCATAGATGGAGTCTCCAATTTTTCTAATAACTGATGTTGAAACCATTTCAAAAAATTGTCCTGGTTCATCTCTCCATGGTAATCGCTCAATTTTGTTTTCGAAGAAAATATCGCTTCACTACCCTCAATAAACCCATTTTCATTTCCAGCATGTAATATAATGTATCTAAAATATATTAGTTTTAAATTTTATAGTGCAAATTGTGTAAAAGTACATACCTTTTACCATCTGTTTTAATAGCTTTCACGCTTTTTTGGTTTCCATTTTGCCAAGAGCGACCTATGGTCCCATTTTGAAATATCCAAGTTTCATCGAGGAAGACAAACTGGTATAAGGCCTCAACCTTGGCTTGATTGTATTGCCTTAGAAATTCCACCCTTTTCAAAGCTATACTTGGTAGTTCCATGAGCCCTCGTCGCGGATTGTCCTTAAGCCACTTAAATCCAAGATCTCTAAGCAACCGCCTTAAAGACGTGGCACTACCATCAAATAATGCCCTATCTCTTAATCGAGACCATAAAGTTTGTATCGTAACTTGTTCTTCTGAAACCATGTGTAATATGACATTATAATTTAGTTAACAAATTAATGCAAATTTCTGATAAGTTATTATAATAAGATCTTACTTTACACGTTTAATATAACTCCGCTCTTTCTTGGGCGATTCTAAATTTGCATCACTTTTCACACCCTCGGAAATACGACTAACTGTCCTTAAACTAATTTTTAAAGCAGCAGCAACACGCTACAAAAAATGAAATAAAATTTCACTATTATTAATATACATTACATATAATTATTAGTAACCTACCTCTTGAACAGCATTTAAAGGCAACAAAGGCCCGTTGTTGTCCCTTTCTTGCTCAAAGTAGTGCATTAACGAGGCCACGAGTTCCTTACACCGACTATTTAACTGTTTGGGCATCTTTATATACCAAAATTGCCTTTATCTACTCGTAAAATGAATAATTTTGTTTTGAAACAAACAGTTGTTGATTTACAGTATGCGGGGCCAAAGGATTTATAAAGATTTGAAATGCCACAAATTGATTCAGTGTCAAAATTAATACAAATGTCAGTTCCCAGTTTAAATAAGTTTCAAGGTGACAATGTGTCAACGCTGCGAAATCGGTTTAGTGCGTTTACATGTCGATAAGTGATTGGAGCGTTTGCAAAACATTTTATTTCGCATAATGCGTCTAAATTTATCAGAAAGCAACTTATGTGGTATTTTAATAACAATTTTTATATGACTATTAACCATAATAAGAGAGTAATGACCATTTTACAATTTATATATCACATTAATATGAAACTGCAATAGAGCAATTGTTTGTGATAGAAACCTAGGCATTAGGTCGGGGAATTTTTATCGTGATGACGTGCACGCCACTTTGTTTGGCGTTGACTATATAGTAATTTTGCATACTTGGACAAGCCTTAGATATAGCGAAAAGGTATGCATTTTTTAACGCATTCCTTCAATTTCGTAATAGTGGGATGCAGCTAGTTGACTCAGATAATTCAAGGAATGGGCATACTAGGTAGCAACTGAAGACTATCACATTTGTATATTCCTACAAGAATTTCAGTACCTCTGCCTATTAAAGAGGTCGAGGTCCAGGTTGCCATACATTAATTTTTTTGGACACAATACATAACTGTCATCTCAGCAACTACTAAACAATATTCAGAAGTATGTAAGTATATCCAAATATGTAGTAAATGTCTAAGTGTCAATGAAAAAAGCAACTTTGTAACCTAAAGGTCGTTATGCGAACACCAAGTATAATCTTTAATATATTTGATAGGTAGAAAAGTTGTAGGATAATTCTGAATAGTTTTGGAAAAGGTCTGTGTCCATGTTCTCCATACATGCAAGCTCGGGCCTCTCTGTATATAAAATAGAAATATTGCAGAACCGGCCAGTAAATAAATATCTAACAACAACTAGATGCCTGTTACTGAGCCTGCAGTACTCTGTAATAGGGTACGGATTCCTCAATTCAGATCAGGTACATTTGCTGTTGTTTGTTTGTTTTGCGTATTGAGATTTACTGCATACTAAATTAAAAGAAAAATAGCCAGAAGTTATTTTGCGTCAAGTTTCTGCGGGGTCTATTACTGAAATGCCACTTGTTGCCATACAGTAAAGTGATTATGTGCACGTTACATACACTGCAATATGTGCCGCAACTTGTTATAACGGAAGCGTACCTTAGCAACACCTGATGTTGTGAATGAATAATATTAGAGAAAGTCAGGGAACAATAATCTGAATCAAGCCATTCCAATTCTAGTTCAATATTACTCCATCCCACCTTAACACAAAATGAGCTTCTCGGGTAATCGAAACAATTCAAGAGAATGATTCCGTATACCGTTTCTAAAAAGGTCCCTATGACAATACTCGTATATGTCGAAAGGCGTCTCTACCCTAAACATATAGTGGTCGAAACATTGATGAGGTTTGTTTACCTGGCTGATTTTAATGGAACCTGTACGTGTTATTGTGAGTCAGAATCTTTTGTTTTGGATAATTTTCAAGGACGTCACTAGTTTTGCCTGAATTTGATATTTCCATCAGATTGAACAATCCAAATTTTGTACCTTACATGTTTCTTGGGCGACCTTTCCAAAGTTGTCCGTTTAAAATGAAATAAACACCAAATCAAGAAGCGAATTCTGTACCAAACATCAGCAAACATTGAAATACATAGAATGTGTGCTGCAAGCTGTTTAATCTGTTAGAAGCACCAATATGACGTACTTGAAAATTTTTCAGAATATTCAATAATCCAGCATCCAACACAACTATTACGTGTGATTGAAATTGATACAAATCATGCCCCTACGACGTACTAGTATTTTTATCAGAAGAATTCAAGTAGGATCCGAAATATTTTTTTATTTTGGAATTGAATGGTTTTTGATGCACGACATGGAAAGCTCCTTAGAAGCTAATAAATGGTGGGAGTATAGGTTTTCTTCCATAGATCGGCTGCAAGATACAAATGATTGTTCTTTGACTTCTGTTTAGCTATAATCTATTGATAAGATGAGGAATCCATATCTTGCTTTCTCAGTGCCATCCACCGCTTGCATTATTAACCCGCTAAAGGTCGTTTTGGATTAATCAAAAAACTATATTCACCTCTTTTCACGAGTTCCAAGTTTGAAAAGTGGAAGGGTGGCACTAGGGTCTAAAGCTTACATCTGATTTGCAGCATTCAGTATCCTATGTATTACGGAGTGTCCACATTTGTTAATTTCTGAAACGTCGGCAGCCTATACATACAAGCTAAGGCATTCAAATGAGATGACAAGTACGTCTAGATGTTGGACCAAATTCTTATTATCGGTACTTTGTCGTTGTTAACAATATCATGCATTCTACTCCATGACTACTGACACAACAAGTATGGAATGCCTATAGATTCGTAAAAAAAATTTAGGGGTTGAAATTTGGGGGGTGGAGGTTGTTAGGGGTGCGGCAAGGTATATGAAAATTTTTTGATCTTAGTATATTTATACATTCCGTCAATTCTATGCACCTTTTATCCATATTTCACACATCACTGATTTTCGTGTACATTAATTAGTCTATAAAGCTTAAATGAACCATGCAAGAAATGAACGATAGCTTGCTGTTTGTAGCGACGATGAACTGATCACGGCGTTGCGTGGAAATGTAGAGTAAACCTACCTGACGCCATATTTTTACTTATCCATCATTTTATGAAATTTGCACACAATTCGTGAGGTTCAATTTAAAAAAATGGTTACTCAAAGAATGTACCACAGTAGAACTTTGGGCCAACAAGAGACAGATTTTCATCTTATCCAAATGTCCAGAGTGTAATTACTCGTATTTTTTATCTAACTTTCATTTCTTAGTACGTAGGAGCCCGGTCTAACAGATTTTTGGATTGCATATGGGTTGTACGTCAAGGCCATCATCATTAGCACCCCTCGACAGACATTCATCTCCTTAGTGCTAGAAAAAATTCATTAGAAGTAAATTGCTGGTACCCAATTTTTAACTTAATCAGATAACAAAAACAAAACTTAATATTGCCAATTTGCAAACACAGAAACACCAGTAGCAGCCGACTTAAAAGACACGCCTTGCGCCCCCAACGATTACTTCAAAATTGACTGCAATACGTGTTACTGCAACATGGATCGCACCGGCTACCTCTGCACCGAGAACCTTTGCACAGGTTCAGATGACGACGTCACCCGAGAAACCACTCGGATCCCCTTGGCCGACGACAAAATGCTGATCATTTCTCCTAAGGGCGTGAAGCTGGTGTCTGACCACAGTCACACCACGACAGATGCCCAAATGACCTGAGTATCTTTGGGAGGTATTCGAGAGGTGGAATGAGGGTCGAAACTGGGGCGGATGACAGCACGACTGCTACAGAAGCGCTCGGTACCACCACAGAGTGATCCGACGGTACGCTAGTAGATGTTTGTAAGGATAATAGAAGAGTCTAATACAGGTTTTGGTCATCATTTGTTATAGCTCTGGATATCATCCACGAAGTGTAATATCGTAATGTTGCAATGACGCAAAAGTCGAAGAATCCTTCTGAGAATGACTGTCGGCATTTTTTCAAATTTAATACGAGGGCGATCCGATAAGTACAAAAGAGAAACGAAAATTTTTGGAAAGTGGCGATTCACTTCTCAAGATAGTCTCCTTTTAGCTCGATACGCTCGACCCAGCGATGCTCCAACTTCTTTAATCGGTTTGAAAAATACGTTTTTTGAAGTCCTGCAAAGAAGGTTCCCGTGGCGCCCATTACCTCCTCATTCCACTCAAATGTTTTCACGGCGAGTGATTCTAAGTCACACGGGCCCAAATCTGAAGAATACGATGGATGGGGCAGCAGTTCGTAACCTAATTCGAACAATTTGGTCATGGCGACGGCGGAGGTATGAGCCGGTGCGTTGTCACGTTTGGAAGAGCACTTCTTTATTCGATAGTGGGACCATTTCCTCTGCAATTCGGCGTCGAACCGGCCCGATAATTCGGCCTTATGACCGTTGTGCCCTTCCCAAGATAGTCGATGTAGATCACACCTTGTGAATCCTTTTCCGACCGATAGGACAGTCTTCGCCTTCTTTGGAGCACGTTTATCGGGAGAAGTCCACTGTTTCTGGTGTGCACCAGTTGATCCATAATTCGTCGATGGTCAAGAAACGACGCAGAAACTCCTTCCGCTTAAGCTGCGTCAAATACTGCTCTGATGTGGTCTCACGTTTGCGCTTGTTGTCCCTTCGCACAGATAGCTTCCTCACGCCCAATGTTTCGTGCAGGATAAATATGACCCCCCGCGGTCTTTTGAGATGCCTACTGTCTCTGCTATCTCGCACGCCTTCAATCGGCGGTCGGCCAATACGAGATTGTGGATTTTTGTCACGTTATGCTCCGTGGTAGCCGTATTTGGGGCGTGGCTCATCAAAAACCGCCGTGCGACTTCGTTGAATATCGTTAGACCAAAGGAGAAGAGTCACCGTACACAGCCTACATCAGGTCTTTGAGTTTGCTGCGCGATTTCTTTTCCAAAAACAAGAATCGAATAACCGACCGATATTGCTCTTTTATCTAAAATCCGCGGACAAAACAAAACTACGAGTCCGATTTTGCTGAAATTTTGTCAGTAGCAGTATACGAGAATGTACTACACAATAATAACTTTCTCTTGCGATAGTGTTGCCATTTATTGGGCGATGAGGCTTAGTACTATCCGACCGTCCTCGTATGCTGAAGATCGTAACGCCCGAATCAAAAGTGTTCTGGATCCCAAATCTTTACCATGAGTACTTTCCGAACTACAACCTTCAATACCATTCCACGGTATTGTAGGCTCATTTCTTCGGCAATTATACTTGAACAAACAAATTCTCGACAAAAAAAATGAAAAAATATTACCACCTTATCTACTCGTTAATAATATTGGAATGGTTATCTATTTCTAATCTATTTAAATTTCATTTACTGTGTTATATTCATAAGCTTTTACTTACCTCAATTCTCCCATTTTTTAAATATAAGTTATTTTGTATTGAACATTTAACAAATTGAAAAAATGGAGGATTTAGGGTAAAATTGAGTATAGCAAAGATTTTTGACACAAAATTCACTACTCCAGATATGCAGTCTGTCAGACTCTGGTGTTTTTTATATAAAATACTCAACAGCTCACACAACTACTAATCATTTCCCGTCAGTATGTTTTCTATTCAAACATGTAATGAAAAATAAAAAAATTAAAAAATCAAGTTTGATGTGTGGGTCAAAGTTGGGACACGCTGTATAATTGTTAATATATCAAAAATGTGCCCCCAGATGCCATAAATAGGTGTCTTTGAAAAGGAGCAATACACCGTCCTCGTAAGGTTGGGACATCCCATATTTATGCATCAGTTTCGGTAATCTAGCATTTCGACTTGCTTACTTGATCCGTACAAAAAATGATTGGGGCGCTAGGAAGAGAACTCTAATATGGACATTTCGCGGTATATGGAATTCCAACATATTAGCAGAAAGAAAATCATATTTAAAGCAAGCAAAACATTATATATATATACGAGTATATACATAATGTAGTTTTGCTTGCCTAGATATATACTCTAATAATATTAGATGAAACTATCGCGGTTTGCGAAATAATTGTAACATCTGGTCTTATGCTGCAAGTTGCTCAATTTCCGTGGCGAAAACTTTTTATTCGACAACAAAGTATGAGAAAAACGTGCTTTTTGGGATTCAGTCGAAAGTGTTGGCAGGAACGAAAAAACTCTTTATATAAGATTTTTAGGTATTAATAAGATCTGTAAAATGAGACTACACTAAGAAGATCGGACTAATAGCAAAAAAGTTATGGCCGAAACCCGAGGCAAACTGCAGGTCTTGGCACTCGTTGGTAATGCGATGATGGTTTCTTGCAGCTTGTTGAATTTCTTCAAATTCATAGGATTCGTTACTTTTTAATAATTACAACACAATTGGAGTAGATTGGTAAATTATTTTTTGAAAATTTTTAATTTTTTATCCCACCACACTGTTTTTCGGCCATCACTACTAGTTTTTCGAGCAATATGCATTGGTTAGTTCAAAAGGCATTTTATAGAAAAATGAATCGAAAACGATTCAGGAAGATAAATGTTCTTTTATGCGAAAAAAGGATGGGTTACGTTTTTCTTCTAAACAAATTCAAACATTTCGTATTTGTGAGTAACTCGCAACAAAAGATGATAGACACATCCGCTTGTTCTAAAATGTGTATAGTGACGTATGTATTTCGAATATCCTAGCGTATTGCTCAATTACTCAGAAATACGATATGTTTGAATTTGCTTTGAAGAAAAAAACGTAACCTTTGTTTTTTTCATAAAAATAACATTATCTTTCGGAATCGCTTGTGATTCATATCGGCAAGTAAATTAGTATATTTTGCTGTAAAATGCTCTTTGAACTAATCCTGTATATAGCTCAATAAACTAGTAGTGATGTCGGGAAAACAGTTTTCGGGACAAACAATTAGAAATTCTCAAAAAAACTACTTTTTTTTTTTTTTATACTCCAACTACCACGAAGGCCTAAGGCCTAAGCACCCATTGGGTACCGTGGGGCTATGGGGGATACATGGGAAAGGGGGGACGCCACACGGACTCTGGCGAGGGAACACGTGTGCATGCAACATGCACACATTCTGGCTCCGCCTACGAGAACCGCCGGGTGGTACCTCCGCGTTCGACAGTCAGAGACCATCTACCACCTACGGACAATCACAACATCCATGGCCAAGAGAACATTTCTCCTGGGACGGGACTCGAACCCGCACAGCGCACGGCGGCTGATCAGGAGACCGAAGGGTCTACTACTGCGGCCACCGCTGCTGCCTAAAACAAACACACCAACATCCATGGCGAAGGCGAGATTCGAACTCGCGGCCCGGCCGGCCGGCTGATCAGTAGCACGACACTCTGACCCACGCGGCCAACCGACTTGACCATTATAATCCAATTTTGCTGATGTTATTCAGAAGTATGAATCCTGCAGATTTGAAGAATACACAGGATTAGTTCAAACGGCATTTTATAGCAAAACACACAAGTTTACTTTGCTGATATGAATCGCAAACTATTCCGGAAGATAAATGCTATTTTATGCAAAAAGGATGGATGGCGCCTTTTCTTCTAAACAAATTCAAACATTTCGTATTTGTGAGTAATTGAACAAATGCGCTACGATATTCGAATAACTACGTTACTATACACATATCAAAACAAAGCGGATATCTATCATATTTTGTTGTGAATTACTCACAAATACGAGCTGCTTGAATTTGTTAAGAAGAAAAACGGTAACCATCCTTTTTTGCAACAAAATAACATTTATCTTCCGGAATGGTTTGGGATTCATAAAGCAAGGTAAACTAGTGTATTTTTTATAAAATGCCCTTTGAATACCCTGTATATTGCTCAAAACTGGTAATGATGACCGGAAAACAGGTAATTTGGAATAAACAATAAGTTATCTTGTCTTTTGGAAGTATGAATCCTATGGATTTGAACAATTTCAAGTAGTTGCATGAAATTATCGTCGCATTACCAATACGTGCCAAAACCTGCATTTTGCCTCGTTTTGCGGCCATAACGTTTTTGCTATTAGTCGGATCTTTTCACGTGTGGTCTCATCTTATAGGTCTCATAAATAACTAAATAAAAAGTTTTTTCGTTCCTGTTAACACTCTCGATTGAATTCCAAAAGACACGTTTTCTCATTCTTTGTTGTCAAATAAAAAGTTTTCACACAAAAATTGGTATACCTATCATTTTATGCGTACATATTTTAAATACCCCCTTGAACAACTTGCACCAATAAAACCAGACTTTACAATTATTTCGGGGAAATTTGCTAATAATATTAGACTAGTACATTTATTTCTAACAAATGATGACTGAAATTTCGCAAAAGCTCTAGTGATGTTAAAATGCATGAAGAGTGGAACATCGGTTCCCAACCAATAGACACTTGCGTGTAAGGGAATCACTTTTAGTCAGAATATCTGCATAATATGTCTTGTTCAATCTTTGCAGGAACAAATTGTAATCTTTCCCCAATATTATAAAGCAAATGATATATCAAATAAAATTCAATGATAATAAAACAATTTCTTTAGTAAGCATTCCTCAACTTTTTGCGTGCGCAACTTGAAGATATTTCTATAGTACTAAAGCAATCATCATTTCATTGTTCTCAATAAAATAAATGAATGAGAAGTAGACAGAAATTCAGCAAATCGGCCACAAAATATTTCCCACTATTCTTTATCCATTGCTATTGCAATAATAAAGTTTGTTTCAACATTTATTACTTATGACAGGTTGTCGGATACGGCAAGGTCGAAGTCGTGCGTCACTATTAAGAAATTGGGAACTTCA